TCACTCGACGAGCCGTTGGAGTGTGCATTCCAACCAAGTCGTGCCGACTTGAAATTGATTTTGGCACTCAATGCCACACTTACCGCTTCTTCAAGCAAAGACGGATGCACACGGAAGACTTCCATTCTAGCCACGCCAGTGCGGAGGCCTTCCATCAAGACGGTCACTGTGACCGCCTTCGGGAGGGGATCTGCTGCCTTCCGGCATTGAGAGCTCGCATTTTTTGAACAACGTCCACCGATTCCTTGTTGCTCTCTCGGGCGGCAATGAGAAAAAATGTTCCATCCTTGACCTCACACAGGATCAGACTAAATGACCCAGGTGTAGAATGACTACAAGTGCTACCAAGTGCAGCGGGGCTGCCTTAGCTTAGCTTTTGAAGAAGCAAAATTTAGGTCACCGACCTTTCGTTCTTTGCAAGAACCAATGCGAATGTAGCGGATCGCAGTTCGCTACCGCCAAGAGTAGTTAATGCCTTAACCAAGGCTAATGAACTCCTTGATTTAAATTCAGAACTGATTTTTATTTATTTTTATCTGCGGCTAGACCGCCAAATTTTAAATGTATAGATTTTCCTAAATATATATAGTAAAATCTAAATACATGTATAACTACTGGCTATCTAACCCCGTACCGTATTCTTGCTTGAGTCACACCATGCCCATCTGGTGTGACACAGACACCTGTTACCAGGGTATGTGTGACCCCGTTACAATGAACGGCTGGGGTGGGAAAGAATCATTCGTCGACGACGGTGGCGTCACGAACGAAGTCAACGCTGACAGCATCTGCTGTAAGTGCTCTAACAGAGCATGTTCATAACTCGAAAAAGCTTTGCGGCGCGCTCTTATGGCCTCGGGCCCTTGCGCAACGAGGTGCTCCACGCCCTCAAGGTCCAGCAGGGACATCAGTATATTGAGCCAGTAGTCCTGCATGCCCAAGGGCAAATAGGAGTATTTCTCCATTCTCACAGAGGATCAGTCACGTGGTGGCTTCTTGTTATGTTATAGCCATACCACTGTGTTATTACACTAACTGTGTAATACACATCTATGTACGACCCGCCCATTCTTACAAAGACACGTGTTACAGCATAACTGGCTGCAATTTGTCGACGCCGACATTTTCTGCTGTAGGTGCTCCAGCAGAGCATTCTTATAGCTTGAAAACGCCTCTAGGCGCGCGCAAAACGCTTTAGGTCCTTGCGAAGCGAGGCGTTGCACGCCCTCAGGGCCAAGCAAAGACATCAGCTTTTGAAGCTCGTCCTGCATACGCTGGGGCAAATAGAACTGCTTCATCGTCACAGAGGGTCAGTTGTAACGATACAAGCGCAGATGGACTACCAGTGCTACCAAGTGCAGCGGTGCTGTTGTAGCTTTTTTGCTAATGGTAATCTAGATTTTATCGGCACTGGAATCTGTCGGGATTTCACTGTTACCTTAAGCTGTGAGCCTCAGAGAGAGTGCTTTTTACCTCGCCACGTCGTCCTCATAATAACTTTAAAAATTATCTAACTAGGCGCAGAGTGCTTACAGAGACACGATATTTCCCAGCGAGGATTGACGATGTTGGTGACCTTCGTTTTCATACTCAAAACAAGTACGAGTGTAGCGATTCGTAATCAGCGTACTCCAATAGTAATTACAACCTTAACATAAGGCTAATTAACTCTTCCGTTTAAAACGTTAACTCGGTTTATTTGCGGCAAAGCCGCCTATATCTTAATTTTTAGGGTATCCTATCTATATAATAACACCTAGTTTTAATTATAACTACTGGCATGTACTGACTTCTTGTTACGCCCATTGTGTGGTCACATCATCTTATGTGACCCCACCCTTCATGTCGCATGTTGAATATCATTGCGCTTCTAATCAAACAGCTTTTGTTTTGGACATAAACAAAAAAGAGTATGAGTCAGGTAGACACTTTTTATATGCGGAGAGTGATACAGATCTCTTCAATTTGTCACCAAAGCAATCATCCACGACCGCAGGTTTGTTCTCTTCGCTTTGTTGCGGTAGTTTTACGCTGAGCAGACGCTTTGAAGCGAATCAAGCTTTGTTGCATGGCTATTAACGTGCGTCATCCAAGTGAAATGACGCTTTGTTTGCATGCCAAGAAACGAGCAGTGTTGTGCTTATACTGCTTACACACTGGCAGCTCATAAGAGAAAGATTTATGTACTATTTAGTGTCGATCATACCAGCTTGGTTTAAAATTTGTGCTGCAGTGTTTGGCAGAGGCACCACTGAGAAGTTGTGCGTCATTTAAATAATGCAATGATATTTTCTGAATCGAAACTACTGATACCTATTTTGCATAAGCTGCGCAATATTGTCATGCAAAGAAAGATTTTGCTATATTCAAGGCACGCATGGAAAAGTATTCTCGTCGTGCTGCTAAAGACGGCAGAAAAACAAAAAGGAGGAAGAATGGATGCACCATAAACTATCGTCATGCGTTATATGTGTTCGCGCAAATTCATATTTCAAAACTTTTGACGTAATCATTGTGCATTGCATAATTTGTTTAATGTGACGGAGGTATAGAGATGCGATGTTCTCCTATTCGCCATCTGTGCCTAACTAATTTTAGTATCGAAGGATACTTTCGGTAGATTGATTTAACCAATCGAGTTTGTATGCGCTACTGTGACAGTGAACACAGTACCAAGTCGATTTATAGTGAATCATTACTACTGCAATGGCCGTTCGAGTGAAACCATAATGTGGACAAAAATGGCAAGAGCATAACGATCCAGTCTCAGCTCAATAGAATTGGAGCGCTGTGATGTCGAGATCAGTTGAAAAGTTGAAGCTTGATATCTTCTTTCAAACGAACCAGCTCAATGGACATTTTAGAGCAATAGCATCAAATTACGTAAGCAAATCAAATTATTCTTAGTATAGCTACTAAAAAGGCCCTATGGCGATGTTGATTCGCATTTTGTCATGAAGGACACGAATTGCACCCGTTCAAAATCATCCAAGCATAAGACTCAGATCATGCGTGCTGCCATTGCCGCGGTAAATAATGTCGTCATACACTTGAATGTTGGCCTGTTCATGATACTACTCCTATTCTCTACTTTCAACATATTTCTCAAACACAAAGCAATATTCATTTATCTCTGTTGTGAGGGATTAAAAAAAAATCTTTCTAGAGCAGTTTAAGATATTCCACTTTCAGATACGGCGACAAGACACCTTAGCTCGACCACTTGACCACATGTTGCTCATATTCCTAGACTGCCACGACAAACGTTTTTACCAGCTTCGTCTTCTTAGTTTTATCTTGGCATATGATCCGAGCTATTATTTCATTCGAAGGATATGCTAAACAACGCAACAAACAATCATATTTACAGCTTAATTACCATGGAACGTGCACGAGTATGAGACCTTCAAGAGCTCAGTGTGGTGCTTTAGAGTGGGATGCGGCAGACGGTGGGACAGTGGGAACAAATCATCGAGACGTGGAACTGTTGGACATAAGTTTCTTTGTGTAAAGTAAAAATAACGATTTCAACCTTGTCTAGAATACCATCTTGAAAACGGTGCGAGGATGGCCGATCCATGTGATATTATAGTGGATGGCGTTATTCGTAAATTGCTAAGCGTACAGGATAAGCCAACACAGACTGAAGTTACAGACATTACCACGGACGAAGTGCTGTTACTATGTCGCAAAGCTCGGGTGGTAAGCGAATTATGTCTTTTGATCCTTATTCGACGTCAAATTACTTATCTCGTCACTTCATCTATTGTCAGATTTTTTTAGATCAACCACCACTTGTGGAGGTCCCAGCGCCAATGAACATTTGCGGCGATACACACGGTCAGTATTCTGATCTCCTGCGATTGTTTGAGATGGGGGGCTTCCCAAACGAGCAGCGATACCTTTTTTTAGGGGATTACGTCGATCGTGCTATGCAGAGTATTGAAACAATCTGCTTGCTTTTTGCGTATAAAATCAAGTATCCAGATCAATTATATCTTCTTCGAGGGAATCACGAATGTGCTTCAATAAATCGCATATATGGCTTTTACGATGAATGTAAACGTCGCTATTCTGTTAAGGTCTGGCGCATATTTGGTGATTGTTTTAATTGTATGCCAATCTCAGCTGTAGTAGCAGGAAAGGTGAGGCTTTTATCAAAACCATTGACATTGAAAAGAATGATTTATTCAGCACTTGTAAATAGATATTCTGTACGCACGGAGGTCTTTCACCCGACTTATACACTTTGGATCAAATTCGAAACATTCGTCGGCCGACAGATGTACCAGATGAAGGATTATTGTGTGATTTGCTTTGGTCAGATCCCGATCCTGAAAGTCAAGGCTGGACAGAGAGTGATCGGGGTGTGTCATACATCTTTGGAGCGGATATAGTAGACCAATTTCTAAAAGCACATGATCTTGATCTCGTTTGCAGAGCGCATCAAGTCGTCTCGGATGGTTACGAATTCTTTGCTGAACGAAAACTCGTGACTATTTTCTCTGCCCCAAACTATTGCAATGAATTTGACAATTGTGGTGCGATGTTAGTGGTTGATGAAAAACTTTGCTGTGTTTTCAAGGTGCTTGCGTCGTATGATAAAAGGAGGCAATCGAAACGTTCAATATGAATAGGAAGCAGAATTATCTTCATCGCTTGAATCATAGATGTGTTAAATTGATTTAGTAGCGCTGTAGTATCTCGAGCCGTGAAAGCGATGGTCGAACTATTTGCTGATTATGACTAAAATTTGTCGCTTGAATTTCATCTTCACTTTCCTTTTCATTTTCGTCCGAAGACGCTGACGATTCTGTAGATGAGTAGGCAACAACAGCCTCCTGGTACCTGGTGCAATTACTATTTCGCTTCTGAACAAGCTTGTCTATGGCATGTTGCACCGACTCATCTTTTCCCTTTGCTCGAGCGCGAAGGTTGCATATTTGCGACGTTAAGGCGTTAGCTAAAGATCGATACGCGTCAGCACGATAATGCCAGTCCTCAGACTTCTCGCACAGCCGTACAAAAGCTTTGCATTCTGATAACCGGCAATCAAGTACCTTTTTATCCTCACTCTCGTTTGACGCTTTTATAATATGACTTTCATATGCACGAACAATTTGTTGCTGAGCTAGAATCTGCTGATGAAGATCACCCATTTGAAGAGCAAGTGCACGTTGCTTTTTCAAAACCTGAAGTGGATTTAACGGTCCAAAGGTTTGGTTCTTTTCTGCTGCTGCAATTGCTGTTGGTGTTTCTGATGTAAGGAAGCTACAATGGGTAGAACCCAATCCTGAGTACGCTATAAGTCGATCCTCTTTTGAATCTAGCACCACAGATAATTCGAGTATTTCGCGCCAAAGACAAATCGCTTCTGCATATCGCTGAGTTTGGCTGTACACAACTGCCAAATTCCGTAAAGCACGGTGCTGAGCATCGAGGTCTTCTCGATCAAGTGCACATGCCAAGTCTTGTTTGTGAGATTCCTCAGCAAGTGCGAACTTACCCTCGACTAATTGTGTGCAACCAATGTAGCTGAGTAATCGACCTTGAACCTTTGCATTCTCTGCTTCACTATTAGCTTTTACTTGGAATTTGAAACTTGGATTTAGATCCAAACTATCCGTAAATAAGGTACTAAGACTCTGGCCTTGCCCTCGATTGATTCCCGAAAGCTCTTTTAACTGCTTCGTTGCGATTGAAAACTCAGCTTCAGCAGTGTGAAAATCGCCTCCATAATATTCTTCTTCACCGCGACAACACTGCAAAAGCACATGAAGTATATGGTCTTGCTCGGGTAGAGCCCTGACAAGATTTTCACTTTCTAGGAATAAAGCTTTTGGTCCCAAAGTTTCTATGGTCGATTTGGTCTCGATATGATCATACTCCAAGGTCTCAACGTCCGCAAATGAATCTGCCTGGATTGGAATCCTTTCCTCACATTTGTCTTCCTTATCGTCAGAAGATCCTACGTTTCCCGCCCAATTTTGGCCCAGATATGACAACACAAGACCAAGATGATACTTGACAATCGCTTGTTGTTTAAAGTCACTAATCTGCTGTGTAGCACGACAAGCGCTTAAAAATAAACAATAGGCCCGCTGCCATTCCCTCTTCTCCAGGTAATAGATACCAAGATTGTTGTGCGCTCGTGATATAAGATGTGGGTCCTTTACACAATCCGCAAGAGATACCGCCAACTCGGCGAAAGTTAAAGCTTGTTCAAATTCACCTCGAGTCTTCGAAATACTCGATAATACTTTCATACACAGCACAGCCATCAGTACGAAAACATATACTCTCGAAAACACATCATCAGTAAACGTACGCATGGACACCGTGCTTCGAGCTCTTCTATCATTATCAGAGTCTTCGCTCGGATTTGCTTCAAGTTCTTTTATTACTGATTGTGCAGCGAGCTCAGCGTCAACGATATTGCCTTTTGAATACAAGAAGAGGGCATAGTTTGCCGTCACAAACTTGTTAATCGAATTCGTTGTTTCTTTTTGTGAGCACTTTGTAGCCTGAAGCAAACGGTCCATAGCTTCGTTTTCACTCCCAACTCGAAAATGCATGACGGCCAGCCAATTTAGTGTATTCGCTTTCAGTTCTGCCAAATCGTCAGATGTTTCTTCGCTTAGGCTCGTCAAAAGTTGCTGAAAGTACTTTTGTGCTAATCGGAATTCGTTGTATTTTGCGCACAAAATCCCGACTTGGTATTGCATTCTCCAAACGACTTGCGCATGGTTTGATACGCTGGTTTTGTTTGAACTTTGCGATGCCGCAACATCGCTCAGCTCTTGTGAAAGTGCTTGAAATTGCGCCTCAAACTGCTGACGACGTTGTCTAATGCTGGCTCTGTCCATCGACATTATTATAAACGGTTACAATGTCGCTTATAGTGTCACGTATTAAAGAAAAAGTCAATCATACGTCTGTATTATTTGGAATGTTTGGCACGATGAAGCTTAAGAGCACGTTCCGCGATCTCTACCTTTCGCTCATAATTAGTGACCTCCTGCTGCAATTCATACATTTTTGCTTTTTGTGCAACGTAGTCAAGAATCTGTGGCATATCGTTGCTCGGCTCTGTTGTCTGTTGGATCTGTAGAGATCGTAGTCGCCTCATTTCTTTCTGGTTTCTTTCCTCCATCAGTGCAATCTCTTCAATAATTTTCTTGTTTAAATCCGTGCGTGTATGAATCTCTTGTTGAAACGACGCACTTTGTTCAAGTAGTTCATGCAAACGTTTTTTAAGATTATTAAGTACTTGAACTGTACTTCCAGTGGTTTGTTTAAGTCGCAGTAGTTCTTCGTTACGCTCTTCAATTTTGGCTACGTACTGCTTGTTTTCAATTTGGAGCTGATGAAAGTCGATATAGTGAAACGCATCACCCATCTCTTCCTTCTGACGAAGCTGAGCATCGATCTTTTGAGCTTGACTTTTGAGCGTAGCGTTTTTCAGTCGAAGTTTCTCAATCATTGCGTCCTTCTGACGCAGCTTCTCTTCCATGTAGCGGATCATTTTCTCAGCAATTGTCTTACCAGTTCGAAAATTCTCGGCCCCCACAACAATGTCTCGTTTGAATTCGTACGCATCTTTCTTGAGCTCTGCAATGCGAATATCCGTTTCTTCTAACACCGCGCGTAACGTGTCAATAAGTCGCTCGGATGAGCGTTTAGTCTCCTCGAGCTCTTTCTGCGCCGTCTCAAGCTCCATACTGCAAATATCATTCTTCTGATCAATCGTAAGCATTGTCTGCGAACGTACTCGGCGTTTTTTCAATCCACTAGTCATCTTGTCTTTATCAGTAGGCTTGGTTTCCTCGTCACTATCAATCATGAGCTGTCCATTGTGTTTCAGATACGACTCCAATAGTTCATTTTCGTTGTTCAAGACATCGTTCTGATGCGTCATGCTTTCCAGCTGCATCAGAAATTAAAGTCATGTCATAATGACCAAAAACTTATTTACACTTACAAATGTAATACCTTAGTCTCCAAGTGATCCAATTCGTCCTCACCCATGCTCGTTTGGTGGCGTCGTTTCAAAATCTCATGACATTTCTCGATTCATTTCATTATATATACTATTGTTACATTACTTTTTTCAAACTAGCTATACATTCGTACTTATTTGAGACCTTGGGATTCCACATGGAATTTACAATAATTCTCTATGAAGCACGCACTCATAATCCGCAACGTCTCGAGCCATGATGTACCTCTCGACAATCTCGATGATGCATGTGTCCAAGCTTGTAATCGCGAAGGATTTGTCACCAAACTAGCAGTAAATGACGAACATGATGTCATGCATCATCTTACACAAACGCACACACGATCCATCACCAATAATGACCGACGCTTCTATCAGCAGACACCATCCGCACGCGCCCCCTTTGATGTCGTGCTTTTTCGCGCCTCAGGACTTTCAGAACGTCGTTTGTATTCACTTTTACAAACAATTCGTAATAATAGCAAGCAGATTTTTCTCTGCGTCTTTAGTCCACAGCTGGCCGAGCATCCTATGGCTCGTTATCAATGTTTCCAGGAAGGAGCTTCCATGGTCACGGAATCACTAGACGCTGTTCGAGATGTACTTGCCTTTATCGCATCGTGTGGACAGGAGAATGGCAATAACTATCATTTAAGAAGAAAATCTAGAGGCAGATCTGGGGGACGTGACGGCTTTACGTGTCCTTTCTGCAACATGAACGATATGAATGAAGATCAATTGTGGAGACATTGTCCTTTATATCATATTAATGAAAAGAATACGGACGGAATTAATTGTCCAATCTGTCGTGAAACGCCACGAGGACCATTTCAAGTGCATATGTACAATGCACACGGACCACCTGGACGACACGAAATGACAAGCGAGTTTCACATGGCCGACTCGACGCTATATTCGTTTGCACTCGTGGTGTGTCACAATAAAAAATACAATCGTTTTCTACTCGTGCAAGAATTCGCCAACTCTGGCTATTGGTTGCCAGGTGGACGAATTGATAGTGGTGAGAACCCAGCAGAAGCTGCGATTCGAGAAACGAAAGAAGAAGCAGGAATTGATATTTGTCTCACGGGAGTGTTAAAGCTCGAGTACCATCCGAAACAAGACCGTAACGGGAGCGAGTATGTTCGAATGCGCTTCATATTTTACGCTGAGCCGTTAGATTGTGACCAACCCCCTAAATCGATTCCAGACTATGAAAGTGCTGGTGCCACTTGGTGTCAGGCTGATCAAGTGGCTTCATTGCCGCTCCGTGGAAATGAACCAATTAAGTATTTTGACCACATCGTCTCGGGCAAGCCGGTCTATCCGCTTGATCTCATTTACATGACTTCTTCGTCTTAAGAAGTTTCCTTAAGGCTGGTAGACTTTGCGATGTTTTCGTCGTAGATACTTGACGATTGCACCGATCAAGGTGAGCTTTGGAAGCGGACGGTTGTGTTTTCGCTATGTATTGAAGCAATATGTCAGAATGTTGCAAAACAATCCAAAATAGAGAATTTAGGTGAAACCAGACCTGATAATTTTCATCTTTGAGTCGTTCGTAAAGAAATTTGTGTAGCTGTAACCAATGATTGTCACCAAGTGTGGCTTTCTGCATACGGTCTTGAAGTCGAAAGCAAGGAAACAACAGCATGGGAAACCGCTTGTTTAATTTCTTAAACTCATCGAAGTCGATGACACCAGCCTTGTTTCGGTCAAACTCGATCAAGGCGTTGTTAATGTTACTAGGGAATTGGGACTGGCCATCATTTACCATACTGACAAGGCGTCGCAGCTCTTTGTCCCCAATGGAGCCTGAGGCTGTAGGGTCAAACGTGTTGAAAGCGACTGCAAAAAGCTAGAATGAGAGACAAACTTATGACGTATATACAAGCGCAGACTCACAACGAAGGATTTCATCACGCGTGTACATACAATATAATACAGTAGCGTGCACAAACTCTTCAAAGTCAATCTAGAAGAGATATTACCAACGGGTAACAAACACGTAGTTAGTGGTTATAAGAAAAAACAATGATCCTGCGTCCTACCGTTCCATTATTATCGGCATCAATCATGCGAAAAAGTCCTTCAGAAAATGGCGTTTTTGTTTCATCAATAAATTCAAAAAATTCTTCGCAGTCAATTACACCACTTGAGCTGCACGAAAAATCAACACATGATGACATGCTTGACGATTAAAAATTTGGTCGACCACGTACTCAAGATCGATATGTTTAAAACACGTTTTAAACTTCTTGAGCTCATATTGTCCGACTGTACGCCAAAATAATGAGTCACGCTAAGCTGATTACATTTCTCAAAGCAATAAACTCACGCTGGTACTTGATCACAACGGCAATGGTAGCAGGACGAGTAAGAATGATGTCATTCGCACGACGTCGTGTGGGCTTTCGTTGAATATTTGTCGGTAATGAATTGCCGATTTCTTGAGAGTTATTAAATTTCGGGACCATAGGCAACGAATTTCTAGTTGCAGCGGACCCACCACCTTTCGATGATTTATCCTTGTTATCATCAGATATGCTGCTTTGTTTTTCAAATAGATTATTTGTAAATGGTGGTCGAAGATCAGGAAGACTGGCAGTATGACGTTTCACTCTTGGCCGATCTACATTATGCTCTGCAATTCTGTGATTGTCGCGTCCAATGTCTATATCACTGTGACTGGTACTCAACAGCGGCGGCCGATTGACTGGAGGAAGAACTTTAGCTTGGGTTAACCTGCGTTTCGAATCCATGAGACCTCAGTGCAGATTCATCTATCTATTCTGTTTCAGTTCGAATGAACAAATAGTAATTAGGGGATCAGACCCTGGAGACCGGATTATCTCGGAACAGAAAATACATGATATTTGAGACTATTTAGAGTTTAACGGACAGAAAAGCAGATCTATCGCAAGAAGATGCTGTCATAGCGAGGACGGTAGGTATTTGCCGGCGAGGATTCCTCCGATCTCGACATTTCGGTCGAAAGGACGGCCACGTCCATCTTGGATTCTTTCACTACGGCTTCACTTTGATTTTCGTCATTTTGGTTACTTGGAGTTGCTTGAGATACTTTCTCAGTTTCCATGTCGTTGCTTACAGTGCGGATCTTTCTCGACCTGGGTGCTTCTTTTTTGTTTTCTTTAGACTCTGACGTAGAATGAGAGAAATGCTCCAGCTTCAATTCACTTGTTTCGTTTGGATTTGTATCTAGAGATCGACGTTTGCGTTTTCGCGAATGGTCCTCCTTTCGCAAACTTAACGAAATGGTCATGCTGTCATTGCGAAAAGGCACGATTGGAAGTCGCATAAGAGCATTATCACCTTTTGGTTCAAATGAGTCCACATCGAAGGCTGGACATCTTGGACATTCATTGTTCCAGCAGTGGCCATCGTCTTTCTGTTGAGAAGAGTAACAAAGCGGGTACATTAGACAGAACCGTTTACAACAGTACAAGAGAATTCGTACCTCTTTCTCCATACCACATATTTCGCACTGAGGGACCACAGCAAGATCAATTACTGAAGGATCGTTTCGATCGCGAAATCCGTTTTCTAAATAATTCAGGTTTAAGCGTGCCTCCCACTCGATTAAGTTTGGGCGCTTTTTAAGCTTTTCACGCCGTCGCATAGCAAAGCGCTTAACGAGATCCTGAAATGAAACGTATCGTGATGGAGTCGTTCCCATAAGCACAACGTCATCCCTTAGACCAAGTTTTTCACGAGCCTTTGCATTGTTGCGATTGCGGCTATTCTGTCGAGCAGTTTTTGCATGGCTATCACCTGCAAGCTGTAGATCCTTTTTCTTAAACACTTGCAGCACTTTAGTAGTTTGAATTTCCACAGTACACGTATCACGATCTGCCTTCTTTACGATACCAAAACCTTTTCGATTCGGCAGATTAACCTTTTTTTCGATCCACGAAATGCCATAATTCCCACGTGTTGACACCCGACGTAAGCGTTTACTGCCATCTTCACCCTGGGAATCATCTGACAACTCAGGGGTGAGCAGGTCTTCTATACCGCTTTGACTCGCTTCATCGTCCTCCTCTTCTTCATCTCCATCGTCTTCTCCATGATTAATTTTATTGGCTCGACTTTCGGTCCGACGCTTACGTTCTTTTTCAAGCGTCTTAGCATGCAACAATTTTATGGTCTGCATATCTTCAAGAAGTGTGAGTTCGTACGCACGCTTGGCAGTATTTTCGCTCGAGTTTTCAAGTCTTAATTGAACCCAACCATTTCCTGAACGTAACACGCGTCCATGCTGCCCTTTAAACTTGCCCACATTAATGCGGCACCTACGATCTATCCACATGTCTGGATCGAGCGTAGACAATAATTTTCCCTTTCCCCTTTTCTTTTTGGACACCATGGAAGGCCTCTTTTCTTCCTCAACCTCTTCGTGAGTTTCCCTCTCGTCCTCATCCTCTTCAATCTGCTCGTCCAACATCACCACCAAATGATTCTGACGCACTTTTAACGTTATGTCTTCATCACCATCAATCAGCACTTTGATACTCGCTTTCCCACGCCCAGTGACCACGCCCTCTCTGCCATCATAGTTCTTTAGATACCGCTTCTCAGCTGCGTTTAAAGCACCAAGCTTCAGCTTCACTCGAGCTCCTGGCTTCAAATAACCTCCTTCGTTTTCTTCTTTATGTTCAGGTTCATCTTCAATCTCGGCCTCAGCGTCGTCATGAAGATTAGTCTCATTCACTGGACTATGAAGTGGTGACGCTCCAGGACTACTGGTATCATCCCCATCCTCCAATACTTCCAACGCTGATGGTCGGTACTTGTATACCACATCTCCGTCTCGAATGCGAACTTTAAACCATGTATTAGGATGCTGAGGAACTTCCTCCACTACGCCTAGCTTATAAGCTGTGTGGGGAACACGCTGCTCCACATCGGGTGTCTTGGATATCCGTACAAGTGTACCCCTTTCTAAGGTATGTAGCTCTCGAGCCGTAGGCGATATGTGGTAAGCAGCATTGATAGCATCCAGCTCGGCTTCATCCGCCTCGTTCATGATCTCTTCCTCTTCTTCTTCAATCTCTTCTTCTTCCTCCTCCTCTTCCTCTTCTTCTTCACCAGAAAAGAATTTACTTTCATCTAATCTATGAGAAATATTACGCCGTGAAGGATTGACCGAGGAGCGTGTCGTACGACCCGCTCCGCGCCGTGGGCGTGAGTCGGCATTAGCTTCGTCCATATTTTTAAGAAATGTCGAAGCTTGTGTGGGCAACATATACTTATGTATCGTACAAGAAAAACGTGGCGTTGGTTGATCGAAAATGCCTTTAGTCGAGGCAAAGGACATGGAGGACATAGAAGACAAGGCGCCTCGTGCACAGGCACCTTCGACTCTTGGTGGTGGAGAGTCAAACATTCCCGATACCGATGTGAATGTGCCACAAATTGCCCCACTTGCGAAGTATAAATTGGTATTTTTGGGTGATCAAGGTGTTGGCAAGACATCCATGATCACACGGTTCATGTACGATACATTCGATAATGCGTATCAAGCCACAATCGGCATCGACTTTTTATCCAAGACGATGTATATGGAGGATCGGACTGTGCGACTCCAGCTCTGGGATACAGCTGGTCAAGAGTACGAGACATATATTAAATATTATAGCAGCTCTTTCCTTCGTTTAACCCAATGATGTGTTTTTGAATCTAGACGATTTCGAAGTCTTATCCCTAGTTATATTCGTGACTCATCGGTGGCTGTTGTAGTTTATGACATCACAAGTAAGACGATCTGAGCAATGGAAAAGATTGACAAGGATTCGAATTTATAAGTTGTTATGTATTGATGATATCAGATCGCGCGTCGTTCTTAAACACGAGCAAGTGGATTGAAGATGTTCGCACAGAACGAGGACAAGATGTGGTGGTCATGTTAGTAGGAAACAAAACAGACATTTCAGACCGACGTCAAGTTTCGATTGAAGAAGGCTCTGATAAAGCTAAGGAGGAGAATGTGATGTATATTGAGACAAGCGCTAAGGCTGGTTATAATATCAAAGCGCTCTTTCGCAAACTAGCAACTGTACTACCTGGCATGGAAAATACGATGATCACCGGAGATTCAAATCGTGCGTTCATCGTGTTTTATTTCTTCAAATGTAATTATCTCATTAGCTCTTGTAAATGCAGTTATTGATATCAAGCTGACTGCTGCTCCACCTCCAAAGGAGCATACTGCAGAGCAATGTAATTGCTGAGAAAAGTGACATTGTTTTGGTAGTTAGTTATTGAGTGCTGCGTCCAAGAATTAGATAGCGAGTGGTATATATGCAAGCAAGTGAAACGCACAACGAACAACTAGCGATGATATCAGAAAAGTGACGAGGTTGAGTCTAAGGGATCAACATTTTTACGTATTGCGAAGTGTCGTAATCAACATCTAAATGTTTTATTGCAAAATTTATTGTGATCGAGTTTTCGCTAATTGTGTCTTATCTCCGAATCGACTAGACAACAAGGTGTTGCTCATCAAGGGACGATACAATGATGACGAACCTTCATGGAGCAGTAATTGTGTCGGACCACTAGCTGTAGGATAGTCAAAACATGAATTGGATTTTTTAAGACTAAGCATGCTTCCTTCAAGTGCTACCAAATTTTTTTGCGACAGTAGGGGCAACAGCTTAGCCAAATCTGTTCAGATCGTGCGGGTGAACAAGGTCTGTGCGACAATGACTACAGCAAGGTCATCGCAGACGTTCAAACCTAAAAAGCCGTAACATAGACTTCAAACAATATTAAATAGAAGTAAAATCTTTTTGGCGCTGATGATAACTTCAAAAATTCGTCGAAGATGAGCTTTTTTCAAAAGTGCTCATTGAAATATAGGAACAGCTACATTCAGATGCGAATTTAATCATTTGGAATTTTTCGCTTCCTCTCGATTTTTCCAACATCTCACATCGCCTTTTACACAGCCTTTAACGCTGTTTAATGCGCCGAGTTGATCGAGAGAAATGGCGAACTAGCTGGGTTATACGCCAACGTGCCATGGAGCTGCTTTGACTCGTCTTGGCTCAAGACGAAGCAACCGTCCGGTACCGCGTACGTCTCTAGATATGACCAAATAACCCTCGGTTAATCTCTCGTTTTTGCTGATTTACAACCACATTGACATTTCCAGTCGCAGCATTTTCCAGAGCGAAGATATGTCGATAACAGCACTGCTATCATTCACTACAATGTAGTCACTAGACATCCGGTCAATTTTTTCTTTTCCCGTGAAATGGAGCGAAGGAGTTGACGCACCAAACGCACCCGCACACCAAATAACTCTACTTGGAATAAGCTTTATGGTAGTGACACTCTAGATTTGGATATCTGCTTGTCAGAAACATCTCTCAGCTTTAAAGACGAGTACCCAGATCAAACTACTAAACATTAATAAAACCATATTCGTCATGTTTAAAACCAGTGCGAAGTCTCTTACTGCAACATTTGTCAATATTGTATGTAGTGATCAAATATACACAACAACGCATGAAACGCTCTGAAACATGAAATATTCGCGCAGATAAGCAAACAAGGTGAAGATTTCTAAGCCCTGAAAGTTCTTATCATATATGCTACTATGCGACCTACCATTTCTCGAAACCATCTCCAATAATGTATATCTAATTGGCCCAAGCAGTGCTGGTTATCATCGTTATTATGCGACATATGGAACCACTCTACTGCTCGCAATGCCTGGAACGTGAATCCTGAATATCAATAATGTGATACTCATCTTTTTGAAACAAAGAGGGTCGGAATTGCACCAGTTCGAGATATCCCCTTTTGACAATACAGGTATTTTCGAGTCAATCAGAACATCGAGCTCTTTCCTACGCTTCAAAAACTCACTAACAACTTGGTCTTCATCAACTGCATTTAAATCTACATGCTTGTGTTTTCTATACCAAGTGGCAACAATATTCTCAAATTTTCGTTTTTGCTTAATGGTTCAAATCGACCATCAATAGATAAACTCTGTAGTCTTACCGATAGATATCGGTATTTTAAGTGAAAGTGGTTTTCCTATTTTCCTTCAATAATATGATCTCTTAGTTTCGTGATGCACCAGACAGGATCTTGACTTCCCACCATTCTGAATCCACAATTATCCTTGCACGATGAAATTCCACAACAAAGAGGTGCTCAATGACACGTGGACGCAGTTTTTTGCGCTATGTTTGCTACTTATGTTAGCCGTTGACTCACTCAAGTACGTCTCGGATCATTATCATTCAATCGCTTGAATTGATCATTTAAAAGCTCTTTTGTTTCCTTCATATAGCCCCATTAAGGCTGTGAGCAAGTTTTTAGGTATACCATCTTACTACTGGGGTCTTCCAGCTGTCGGTATAATGTTGGGTCTACTCTTCCATAATGCTGCCGATGTCACATATCGCTCCACCCGTGTCTTTCTTAATAGTATCCTGAGTATTGTATTTAAAAGTGTTGATCTTATTGGCTTAGATAATGTCCCTACCGAAGGTCCAGTTATCTTTACTGGTAATCATGCCAACCAATTTGTTGATGGTCTCGTGGTTGTGATGACAAGTCCTCGCAAAGTAGGTTTTATGATTGCTGAAAAGTCTTGGCATATGCCTATAGTTGGCCATCTGGCTCGTATTATGGGCTGCATTCCAGTAGTACGTCCTCAGGACTCGGTGGTTTCTGGTGTAGGCTGTGTAAGGCTTACTAGTAAGGAAGCTGTGACACTTGCGAGCTCGTCTTGTGGTGGTGCCAACAACAGCAGTCCCCAATGGATTTTACAGGGTGAGCATACAAGTTTCACAAAGCAGGTGACACCTGGTGACCAGATTCGCTATCAAGGAGAGAGTGTGAAAGGCTCTGGTCAACCTGTTAAAATCATACAGGTACTCGATGATTCCAAATTACTATTAAGTGCACCGTTAAAAGACGGCAATGGGAATTTCGTGCTTCAAAATGCACCATTTGGTATCCTCAAACGAGTTGACCAGTCAGTAACGTTTGCCAAGGTGTATACTCACTTAAAGCGTGGAAATTGTATTGGCATTTTTCCAGAAGGAGGCTCGCATGACCGTACAGATTTGTTGCCCCTTAAAGCTGGTGTTGCTATTATGGCACTTGGTGTCAAAGATAAGTATAATATCAATGTACCAGTCGTGCCAGTGGGTTTGAATTACTTTCGTGGTCATCGCTTTCGTGGCCGCGTGACGGTTGAGTTTGGTACACCGATAAGTGTAGACCAAACTTTGATGGAACAATACAACAAAGATAAACGTATAGCTTGTAATACGTTTTTACATCGTGTAGAAGAGAGTATGCGTTCAGTGATTGTAACGACACCAACGTATGGGGTCATGCAGCAAGTTTTGACTGCGCGTCGTCTTTTTCAGCGATCGGGTGTACGTCTATCAGCCAAGGAGACACAAGACTTAAATCGACGCTTTGCGGAAGGATACAAAGTGCTACAAGATGTACCTGAGGCGCAGGAAGATCTTTTAGCTCTGCAACAGAAGTTGGACAATTACAACAAGACATTACAAATGATGGGATTACAGGATCATCAAGTTCCTTACATCCCGTGGTGGACCATTCATGACGTGCTGGGCTCAGCACTGTACGGAATGCTCATTCTTCTGCTTGCTTCAATTCCGTCTTTCATTCTTAATGCACCTGTGGGTCTTCTAGCTCGATATGTCGCAAACATGGCTCAAAAAAAAGCACTTGAAGGCTCCAAGGTTAAAGTCATGGCTCGTGACGTTCTTCTTAGTAAGAAGATTCAATTTTCAATTGTGGCTGTACCTACTCTGTGGTTCCTTTACTTCATTGCGGCTGTGGTCTTCACAGACTGGTACTGGTCATCAATAATGCTGCTTATGGTATCCTTTCCGCTTTTCTCATTCTTCGGTGTACGTTCGGTTGAGGCTGGTATGATTGAGCTTAAGACCGTTCGTCCGCTTTTTTATCGTCTTCTACCGACGTACAAAGCAACACAGGACGAACTCCCTCGTCAACGCGCGGTGCTGCAAAAAGAAGTTCGTGAATTCGTCAGGAAATATGCACAATATGTCGGCAAATTGGCTGAGCCGAAAAAACTTGACTGGAACGCATATATGCGCGAGCGCACTTTACTGCTCGAGAGCAAAGCCAAAGCTCAAGCCGAGATCATACCATCTTCGGCGAATGTGAACGAGAAGACTGTGGAGGAGCCACGTGTAGGTGAGCCTGAGGGCGGCATGCGCTCTCCGGTGCCCACAATTACAAAATTTCACGACATTAGTATTCTCGGCAAGTCACTGAAGTCAGTGGCTGACTTGGCAGGTCTAGAACGGTCCATGTCGTGTCCACCAGGGTACCAGTTGGCTGAGGAAGTGGCTAAACAGCGCCAAGACTCAGCTTAACATCGATGTGGTTCTAGCAACGTCTATCAAATATAATTCAAATTAGTTTCATTCCACTCATTATCTTATCTAAAAATGTTGCTACTTGTGAAAAATAGAGCCGCGACGCAACGCTGCTATAGCTTCCTCGCGGTCCTTGTCATTAAGCAGATTAAGCACCTCAAGTATGCCGGCAACAGCAGCCTTAGGATCTTTGCGGCCAATCTCGACAACTTGCGAGGCCATTTTCTCCTGACGAAGCTCAGCCACGCGGGATGCAATCCATTCTTTGTCGCTTGATAACCATACGAGCACGTCCGAATCGCGGTGCGACCAGAGTTCCGACACAGACACGTTCTGCTGACGTGGCACACGGCCGCCATTGACAGCCTCAGTAAACCAGCTCTTGAGGATCTGCTCTGAACTCAGGAACGTTGCGGCACGCGGGCCATCGGCTC